GGTGGGGGGGTGGGGCGGGGAGAAAAGACAGGCAAAGAGCAGAGAAAATGCAGGTGTTAAGAGGCAACAGCTGGCTGGCCAGTCAGGCTTAAAATTAACAGTGCTTGAGTTCTACCATAGATGAAAAAGGAGGAGCATCTGGTTGCCGTCTGCTTTGAAATTTCTCAAATTTTCTGCTTCCTAGTGATGAGTGCTCAAGGATTTCTTTACCTCCTCCTCGTCAGAGGTAGAGGTGAAGTACTAAAATGAAATGATGGTAAGGATGACTTCTGGACTCCCAGGCATTTGCAAAGGGCATCTCTCCTGACCCCAACCCTGCCTGCAACAGAATCAGACATGAAAAAACTGCCTTAAAACTGCCTTGTATAACATCAAGCTTTCTGCTTTTTCTCAGCTTCGTGATGATCCATTGTATTTTTCTGCCTCTGTTTTTCCTTATTTAATAAGCTAAGCTTTTGCCTATTCTCTTACCTACTTAGGTTGTGGTAATTTTCCTACTGTAAAACAATTATGTAAAGTGCCGCATCCTTTACCAGAAGCCCTAGCAAAATAGTGTATATAATGAATGTGTTTCATGACTGTTTCTTTTGCTTTTCTAGTTGATTCCGGCGTGGACGCGTTGGCAGTGTTTATGGCAAGCAGCAGTACGACGGACGTTGTGAACCGCAACAACCCTGCCACCCCACCGAACACCCTTAACCTGCGCTCCTCTCATAACGAACTTCTGAATGCGGAAATTAGGCACACGGAGACTAAGAACAGCACTCCTCCGAAATGCAGGAAAAAATACGCGCTGACTAACATTCAGACAGCCATGGGTCTTTCCGATCCAGCAGCGCAGCCCCTTCTGGGGAACAGCTCTGCCAATATAAAGCTGGTGAAGAATGGAGAAAACCAGCTCAGGAAAGCCGCCGAGCAGGGACAGCAGGATCCCAACAAAAACCTCAGTACCACTGCGGGCATAAACGTAACTTCTGAGAAGTTTGAAGGCAAAGAGCCGATCCCGCAGGATTCCTCTGGCTGTGAAATACTACCCTCGCAGCCCAGGAGGACCAAGAGCTTCCTGAATTACTATGAGGATCTAGAGACATCTGCTAGAGAGCTAGAGCAGAGTTTTGTTGCGATGGAAGATAAATCTGCGCAAAGCAACAGCCAGGCTTCTACCATTATTGTCAATGGGGAAGTCCTGCCCCGGAAACAAAACAAGCTGTCAAGCCCAGAGGATGGCCAAGTTGCCACAGTGTCGTCAAGCCCCGAGACTAAGAAAGACCACCCAAAAACTGGGGCCAAAACAGATTGCGCCCTCCATAGGATTCAAAACCTGGCCCCAAGCGATGAGGACTCCAGCTGGACTACGCTGTCCCAGGACAGTGCCTCGCCGAGCTCGCCCGACGAAACAGGTACGCAAGTAAAGTCTGCTCGCAGCCACCGTTTTAGAAATGCATTGCTTACCTTCTCTCAGCTGGCGGCTGGAAGGAGAGAGGCGATTTAGTGGTGCTTTCGGTAGGGAAGTGGATTGCATCGAAACACAAGCACTGGGCTTGCACACAGCTCCTTGTCTGCTTGGGAACGCTTGGCAGCCTCCCACTCGGTCCTAGCGGCTTTACTGCTGCTTTAGGAAAGGCACCGGCAAATGCTATAGACAGGGTCCTAAAAACATGCTAATTGCACTTTTTGCTGGTTTAGAAATAATTGCTCTTCACTAATCAATGGGTACGTGATTGTCTGGAGATGCTGAACTACTGATAGCTGCCTACACACAACAAACAAACTTTTCTGAGCAATGATTTTTAGGTTCAGCAAAAATTTTTACTTTTCTAATTGAAATCTTTGTGAGTGTCCCCCTTCTGCCCCCAGTCATTTGACGATACTCTTTTATTTAAAATAATAAGTCCTCCCAAACCTTGGGTCATTTGATTTCTGTGTTTTCTTTGTGCAGCAGTTCCATACAGTAACTCAGAAGCTGAAACCATGGCATTTCATAATTTGGAAGCCTGGCCTCACTAATTATTTGAACAGTAATGATGACTTCTGCACTGGCTCTGTTGTGATTTACAACACATCTCTATTATTTTTAAAACTCCAGAGATCTCATTTACTCTAGTTAATGGACTTTGTTACTTTTTTTATATCCAAGCCAGTATGTAAAGGTACAACTTTGTCAAGATGAGGGGAGGCGATCCGATTCTCGAGGGTGACATGGGGCTAAAGAAGTTTGCCATATATTGTTTGTATTTTAAGTGATTTCATTTTTACAGCATATACTGTTTGGAGGCCACCATGGTCCAAATCCACAGCTGCATTACATGTTAGTCGTGCATGATTATGACAATAGTGATTTTTATTTTGATGTGTAGGGTTTTTTAAAATTGCAACCAGAAATCCCCACTATGTGACATATAATGGATCTTCTGATCTTCTTTTTGATATGTAACAAACCTTTGCTGTTAAGAGAGAACATTTTCATGAAGTCACCTCTTCACATGCAAAATGAAAAAGTTTTCAGTTTACTAAAATTGCAGTTTGAGTTAGTATTATTTCTCAGGATACTTGATATAATATGTGTGACATCACTGATAACATTTTCTGGCGAAACTATCAATAGGAGGTAATTAGGTAATTTAATGCTGAGCTTGTTGGCTCCTTCTGTCTTTGTACTTGCCCCAGGTTTGGCAATGAGAAACTGGGGATAGAAAATTTATATCCACTGAAAACTAAAGTAGAGTAATTCCAAGCAGCCTAATTAAATAAGGGTGGCGTAAGATGCTAAGAGCTAGCATAAGTTTTGTTTCTTTTTAAATAATGTGTTTAAAATTTTCTTCCCACATGTGTATTGCCGGTGTATGAGCTCTTTCAGCACTCGGGGTATTTTCTAAGCTGTTTTGAGGTGTTGGCAAGTTTGCTTATTTAAGTAACCAAGTGTTAGCAGAGCTGTGGTTGGTTTGCACTACAGAAATAAAGGGGAACTTTCCCCTGCTGAGTATGGGGTTTTCCTCATTTTTAAAACAAACAAACAAAAAAAAACCAATTAATAAAGCCCTCAGAGCTCACCACTCTTCTAAAGCAGAATAAAAGGCTTTTTTAATTTCTACGCTACCTTCATCATACAAGCAACGAATGTATTATGAACAGACAGTTAAAGAAAAGCAGATGGCTAGATACCTGACTTCAGTCTCTGTAAGAAAAGAGTTAAAAATAAACAGAAAGCCCTAGAAAACCTCAAAAGTGCCTGTCAAGATCAAAGTGGTAGAGATGTTTCTTCCTCATCCCCATGGTTGTTGTCAGAGAGCACCGAGTAGGACATAGGACCTGTCATACTGGATTGGATCGCAAGTTTTAAGATACCTGTAAATGTAAGTATTCATGGACTCTAAAAGCATCCAACTATTGCAACTTGCAACTTACAGACATCCGTCTTTTAGGATTATTGGCTATCTTGAATTTACCTTCACTCTGATAAAATTGTTTCATTAAGTGTTTCTAGTTTCTTTCCAAAATGGACTATCAGTTGATACCACAGAAGAGAGCTAAGAAATAAAATGTCGAGTTGCCGTGGGTGCCAGGATGGCTTTTGGACGCAATAAACCAGGCCAGTTTTTCAGGCCCCTCTGCAGTTCCTTCTGGGAGGCTGAAAAGAGGGGTGCAAAAAGCAATGCTGCTAGTGTTTTTTTTAAAAAAAAAAAAAAGGCAGAAGTCACAACTGGTGCAAATATCTTCAGACTTACTCGTTTGGGGGCAGATTTTCTAGTTGTTCTCAGGGGCTCCAGCCTTTTGTATTTGAGTAATGTGCCATCCCTAGGCAAGTTCATATATCTCCAAGGATGTTTGAAGGGTAATAAAAAAAAAAAAGAAAAAGAAAAAGAAATAAAAGCTGAGGAACTGAACTGAACTTTCTTTTTTGAGGCAAGGCCCGGAACAGTTCAATGTTTTGCACTGTAAACACCTGTGCTTTTTCCATCTCCTTCCCTGGAGTTGCTTGAGTTACTGTGGTGCTGATCGACAAGCATTCACCTTTCACCGTGCCACGTCAAGCTCTGGGAGTTACCTGACTTGCCAAATAACGTGGGTCCTACAGCAGTGGGTGGAGTTGGAAGTACTGAAGGAAATCAAGTAACACTTGCTGCTTCCTGAAACCCCTTGCACCCTTCTGCCATGTTGGGGACAGAGAAGTAGTTTCCCCCAAGCAGAAAATACATCCAATGCGTTTATGTCAGTGGTGGTTGACTGAAAACCCCAGAGATTCCCAGGGGGCCGTACCTAGCCCCTCTGGGGCCACAGAGTAGATATGAGAGCCCACATTTAGGAGCAGGCAAGAAGAAGAAACCTCAGAAAGCATGGAGGTGGTCTCTCGGCTCTCTTGTGATTGTCTGATCTGGTTTTAAACATCGCTTCAGTGGAGGTGTTGCCCCAACCTGCTCAGGCCATCTGCTCCAGAGGCACGTGGTGCTTTCCCCTGCAGTAGATCTTTCCAGTCTTTTTAGTGTAATCTCTCATTCCTCATTGTCCCTATGTGCCAGTATGGAGGAATGGAAGCCCTCCCAACTGGGGAGTTGTGCAGTGAGCCGTGGTAGTGCCCATCCTGGAGGTCTGAGATTTTGGGCATGGCCAGGGCTCCTCTCTGCCACTGCATCTGGGTGGGAGGAGAGCATCGCGTGGGGTCTTCGCGGCTCAGTGCTCTCCAACCCTTGTGTTTATGCTCCAGTAATAAATGTGAGGGACCAAAGGGAGAAAAGCTTCGGGGAGAAAAATCTGCAAAAGTAGACAGTTTTAGTCATATGGCTTCTGGGAAGGGGAAAAAAGATACAGTTTTGAGAACAGTTAATCCATTAAAGAGTGTAATCTGGGAGATACCTGGAGAATTATTAATGTTCGATCCAGAGATTATGTTTAGCACTTTAGTATGCATAGGAATATGATAGAAATAGTGTTATACTGAGAGGACACTGTTGAAAATGACAATATACTACTTCCAGGGCTTCTGAATTGTTTTGTCATCTTTTTCCATCTGTTAACACAATTTGTTATTCAAATCCTGGAAAACTTAATGTGGTTTTATGTTTGGTTTTTTTGTTTTGTTTTTCACGTGTTTTGTTTTGGAGGTATGTAATTCAAAGGCCCTGAAAAATTTACCCTTGAGCTTTGCACTGGGGATGCATCACTGTTTAGACAAAATCGTCCTGAACTCTCCTTAGGGCAGGATACTTCTGTTTGTGGTCTGATGAAAAGGTGTTTTCAAGAGACTTGACTCTTTTTCTGAATGAGGAGGCAAAAATAAGACAACCCTATTTAAAGATGGAAAACAACTGTCTGGATATTAAACAAATGTTAATGTTGATTAGTAATGTTGCTGAAGAAATGTAATAGTCCATTAATAACAGGTGCACCAAACACCACAACACAGTACAGTATAAGAATTGTGTTTTGAGGAAACTCTTCTTTCTCCTCTAAAGAAATTATCTATATCGGCTTCTTGGCAAGAGCTTCATTGACTTCAAATTTCAGAGTTTTGGTTTTTTTTTTTATAAGGACTTTTAGCTTTCAGAGAGCATGTTGTGGGTTACCAAAGACCAGCTCCAGATGTCTTTAAAACTTCACATGGCACAGAGCTGGTTTAAATCACAGTGAATGCTTCCTCTCCCTCTCTCCAGAAAATTTCCTTAGTCTGGTTTTCAAAGGATCACAAAGCATCTTGTGTTATTACACCCTCTACCTATTCTTTTTCTCTGTCTCTGTGTATTTACCAGTTTCACCTGCATTTATCAATCAGTGTGTTGTGAACAGCAGGAGTCAAGTGGACACCCCATAGCCCAAACCTAGGGGAGGATGAGGGTGATGCTAGTGCTGTTTTCTGTTTGTGGCTTTTTTTTTTTGTATTTTGAAGAAGCTCACCAGAACATCTGTAGAAGGCAGACACGTTTCTTAAACTTCCTGTCACCTGAAAAACAGTTTCAGTGGAAAGTTATCCCTCTTTAGTAAAGTGCAGCTCTCTATGTAATAATCTCTAATGAATTAGGAATGAGAATCCTCTGGGGAAAAAAAAGGAATTCTGTTTGCCTCAAAGCCAGGAAAAATACTGGAATTTGCTTTTGCTTCTAGCTTTATCTTAATTTGAACCCTCCTTCCAGATCAGGGAATAGCCCCATGATTAAGAAGGTCCCTGAGATGTGGGACACTCGGTGCTAGAGAGCCGCAGGTTTTCTTGCTCTGGGATAGTCACCCTCCTTGCTCTCTTCAGAGCTGTGGGAGACTGCGCGGAGGCAGCAGCCTCCTCTGGCTGCCCAGCTTCTGAGCCTTTGGCTCACACACCTTGTTTCTCCCTGGTTGAAAACGTCATTGAAAGGGGGTATCAAAAGTACAAGCATCCTCTTTTTAAGGGAGTGCCGCCGCTGTATGTGCCTGC